AGTTGCTTCACCAGGAGGAACCACCATTGCTGGGATTCATGAGCTTGAGAAGGGTGCTTTTCGCGCAAGCATGATGAATGCAGTTGTTGCTACTACCAAGCGTAGCCATGAGATGGGCCAATGACTTGGCTTTCCATGCGTAAATTACCCTTAGTAGGTTTGGTTATGCTTATGACAACGACATCAGAAAGTTACTCCGAATGCAGGAGACCGGCCATTCCAGCCAATTTGTACCATGTTGCCCATGGTATGATTCTTCCGCATTGTGTTGAAGTGGATTCTACTTCCAGTGTATGAATGTACATTTGACTGCTATGTAAAATAAACGGTTTCTACTTTGGTAAAGTTGATTCTCTCAGCGTAAACTTTACTAAAACAACTCTCGATCTTCTGCTCTGATACCGTGTTAAAATTAGTGTTAAAATTAGACTATTGATCTCAAAACTTTGAAAATGAATTAAAATGCGTAAATTTTATATTGTGAGTCAAAGGCTTGGATACTTAATTTGGGACATTTATGTTCCCAACACGTACTTGTGTGTGGCTGGCTGGAACAGATTATGTTAGGCAGGCAATCTTGTTTGTGGCTGGAACAGATTATGTTAGGTATATCTTGGAGTACATGTGGCCAAATTGGGGTATAGGATATTTTTAGGCTTGAAAGTTTGTTGGTTCCATATTTTAAACCGTTCAGATGTGCATCAATAATTTTTGTACATTATTTTAATGTTAACCAATGAAAAAGTGGTTATGTTAATCATTAACTGGAACCTTAATAAAATTAATAATAAATTTAATTGTGGCAATTGAGTCTTTGAGTTTAGTCCTTACAAATGTTATTTTGATAAAAACATTAAGGGGCTAGTCTTTATAAAATTTAAAAAGTTAATGCACCTAATTGTCATTGAGCTCAAATTCAGAGTAGGCAGGCAATCTTGTTTGTGGCTGGAACAGATTATGTTAGGTATATCGTGGAGTACATGTGGCCAAATTGGGGTATACGATATTTTTAGGCTTGAAAGTTTGTTGGTTCCATATTTTAAACTGTTCAGATATGGATCAATAATTTTTGTATATTATTTTAATGTTAACCAATGAAAAAGTGGTAATGTTAATCATAAACTGGAACCTTAATACAATTAATAATAAATTTAATTGTGGCAATTGAGTCTTTGAGTTTAGTCCTTGTATATTAGAAACAATCTTAAAGTTACATACTATTACATCATTTAGTCTCTGTATCAATCTAACACACAAATCACCGCTATTTTGTAAAGAGGCACTTAGAACATTAGGGTTTTCTTATAAATCATTTGTTTTCTCATGACATCCATTAATCAACATGACATCGATTTAGCGTTTATGTAAAAGAAAGATGGGTTCATCAAGTGCTACTCAAAAAATACAAATGTTATTTTGATAAAAACATTAAGGGGCTAGTTTTTATAAAATTTAAAAAGTTATGCACCTAATTGTCATTGAGCTCAAATCAGAGGGATGCAAAGCTTGTCGTAGTCTGACACGTGTCATTCAATCCAACCCGACCCATTAATTCCTTTGTTCGGGTCAGATGACCCGAATTTTATTCAAACAAACTAGTCATGATAAAAGCGGCACTGCCGCGTTCCTGACTGAGACTACTCCTCCCTCACTTCTGTTTCTGCGGTACTTTAAGAAAACAAAAACAACCTGAATCTGACTCTGATACGACGGCTCCTCCACAAAAACGGCGACGTTTGGCCCTCTCTCCCTTCTTTTCTCTGTGTATCTGTCTGTATCTTTTGTGGTGAATAATTTGAGTTGCATTTCTTCTATGGTGATTACAGGTGGTGGAAGAGAGTGATATCGTTATTTTCTCTGTCAAACCTCAAGTTGGTATTTACACTTTTCCATTATCTCTCAATTTCTCAAAGATATTGTATTTATATATTATATATATAATATAATTTTTTTATATTTTTTATCATTTGCTCTTGCTTCTTGTATGATTGAAATGTATCTTGATTTTAGAGATATGGGAATGAATTTTAGGTGGTGATTTTGTGGATGTTTACCAGATAATGATGTTGTTGTGCCTTTACATTTGTGCAGTTAAAGATGTAGTTTTGCAGTTGAGGCCACTACTTTCCAAAAAGAAGCTGCTAGTTTCAATTGCTGCTGGAGTCAAATTGAAAGATCTGCAGGTCTCTCAGTTACAACTCTTCTTGCTTTTTATCTAAATTGAGTATTTGTTTTTTTGGTCAACTATCTAAATTGACTTTAGTCTATATGGATTGGCCAAAACACTCTGTATTTTATTCATGAACCTCTAACTTCCAGTTTATCATTTTGAGTAAGTTCTTTTCAGTTTCTACGAAAAGGTTATGTTCTGAACATATTACATGCGTTAATTGATTTAAGTATTGTACACAGTGGAGCGAAAAGTTTATATTGGTGTGTGCTAAGCTATATATATATATATAAACAAACTCTACACTTAAGTACTGCATAGATGTTTTCTTTTTTTTAAGGAAACTGTATGGAAATACTATTAATAAGAAAGAAAGGATTCACGTAGCCATGGGACACAAACAGAAAAAGACAACAGGAAATAATATGCAATGCAAATGTACGTAAAAGTTGGAGTGAACAGGTTATATATGTTTTCAAAGAAGAAAATTATGTGTATAAATTTTTTTTTTTACACATTAGCTCACCCACATTTGCATGCCTCTCCCTTTCCCTTTCCACAAAATTAGTTCCACTCCTTTACCATTCCACACTGAGCAACTCTTTTTCATCTTTCATTTCCCTTTTGCCTTTCTCTAAAGAATGACAGAGAGTAGACAGAGAGTAGGGAATTAACTTTTATGAAGGTAAAAGGGAGGATAGAGGGCTGGGCTTAACTAACGTCAGTCTAATATACATGTGTAAATTCTTTTTTCAAATTCGAGCCAATTTTCAGCTCTGCTCGTGTAAAAGTCAATTATAAAAGAGTGCATTTCTTTCCAGCTTCAAGCATCACCCTTTTCTTTGTCTAATGCAATAGATGAATAAATCTGTTGTTCGGTACCACATTTGTTTTCCTTGCAGTGTCTGATGAATAAGCACATGTTACTGTTAACCAAGTTTTGTAAGAAAGTAGAATTATATTTACTATTTAGGGGAAATTTGAAGTCCTCAATGTTTGGTTCACTATATAGAGGATGAAAGGAGTAATAAGTTAATAACAGAACAAACAATTTGATGAACTGAATGAGCAATATAGCATGTTATCACCTGAGCATTCATTCTTGAATTTCAGAGTCTGGTCACTTGTAGTGCTTCCCTTGTTTCTCCTATCTATAAGGAAATATGACAGTTAGTAACTTTGGAAAGGTCCTTTGGTGTAAATGAAGAACAATGGGTGTTGCAAATCAATATCTGTAGTCAACAGTCTAATTATGATTATCCCCATTTATGAATGTGCCAGCCACCAGAAAGAATATGATGCTGTTCATGACAATAATAGTGCTGATACTGAAGTTTGAGAGATGTTGACAATGCAGTTTTCTCCTTGCACAAATTCAATTATTTCCCCACAGTTACAACATTTAGCCATTGGTAAATTTAGCCAGTTCTCACCCTTCAAAATTGTGACAACGCAGTAACAAAAATTTAAGTTTCTTAACCATTTTATTTTCGAAAAGTAATCTTGGGCAGCTTCAGTAATTTGGGGTTACTAGTTTTATGATTGCCGGAACACAGTATACTTTGTATTGACCAGCATCTCTTAATAATAACTATAGTTACTGGACTGCATGCTCTTAATACCAGGGAAGCCTAATCCTGGAAATGACTTTTTAGCATCAAATTTGTTTAACGTAAATAATTTTATTATTCTATACGTTAATCATAAGATTAAGTGTGATAGCTTCTATGGTTTGTGCGCACTATCTCTTCCTGTTTGTTGATCCCCATGCTCTAAGTCCTTTGATTCCTACCACTGTACAAGTATATTCTTTTTCTTTTTTTGGTCTTTCATGCATGTAGTTCTATTTTAAACTTAAATGTATAACTTTTGAGTTCTTAATGTTATTGAAAATAAAAGGTTGAGACACATTCAGTTTTTTTTGTTTAATCTATTAACGGAATCGGTCTATCTACCTTAGGAGTGGGCTGGTAACAGCCGATTTATTAGGGTAATGCCAAACACTCCATCTGCTGTTGGTGAGGCAGCATCAGGTACTTCTGTTATCCTTTCAATGGTTTATTCCTTGACTTCGAATAAAAACGAATAATGTCGGGTATACTATTATTTTTAACGTATCTGCAAACTGGCTTGGCACTGTTTTTTGCATTGCGAACCAAATTGTTATTTGCTTAAGTGAATGTTTTCGGTACAAACTTTCAATGAGGTGCTCCATGCAAATTTTCAGTTTAAAAAGTAAATTAATAGGTTTGGAGGATTTTTAAAACTAATATTCTTTTATAAAGCCATTTTTAAAGCAATATTTACTAAACTTCATGTTATACTTCTGCAGCCTATAGAAATAATAACTAGCAGCATTTGGCGTATTACACAAAAGTACTGTTTCTTTTTTTTTCCATAATAGTTTGCATAAAAGTTGGGAATATAACAGCTGGCCACCCTAGATCATGCTAGTATGACATGTTACAGTGGTGACAAGACTTGCGAAATGCTGTTTGTGGTAGTGCATTGGATTGATTGACATGTTGCTAGTATGGAATAAAAGGAAAATTGACACTTTTTATTGCTTACGGGTAGTCTTACATACCTTTTAACTCTTGAAGTTTTCCGCTCGCTCATATTTGCATTTTTCTTTGTTTACTTTTCATATTGCTTTTAATTTGGTACGCCAAATTTGTATGAGTAGAATGAAAATGGTCATGCCTCTAATCCTTTGGTCACACAGTTATGAGCTTGGGAGTAGGTGCAACAGAACAAGATGGAGACCTAATAGCTAAATTATTTGGATCAGTAGGAAAGACGTGGAAAGCTGATGAAAAATTGTTTGATGCAGTTACTGGCGTTAGGTATGTGACTTTGTGTTGCAATAAAAAATGATGCTGTTCATTCTCCACTGCAGAATATCTTTTACTTATCTCTTGTTGCAATCAGAGATCTTCCTTTCAAATATACTCTTAGTGTATCTTCCAAAGAGGTTCCTAGGTTTGTTAATCATGCATTTTCATCCCAATAATTGTAATAATTTTAGATATGAAGTCGTAGATTCTGGTTTTATTGATACCTTTTATAAACATACAGTGGCAGTGGTCCTGCATATATATATTTGGCGATAGAGGCTTTGGCAGATGGAGGAGTTGCTGCAGGTCTACCTCGAGAACTTGCACTGGGTCTAGCATCTCAAACTGTAAGTCTGCTTATATTGCATGGTGTTTTACTACTCAACCAGTCATGTGACATCATCACACCATCGTGTATTTGTGTCTATTTGTCACAAATTGTAACAATGTAGGTCTAGATCTCCTTAAAAGGGTCATATTGCATAAAATATATGAAAGTAGATAATCCCTTTACTTTTAAAATTTAAACCTTCACCAACAAGAAAAAGTATTTAAAGAACTGAAATAGTTTCTAACTCTCAACTGCCTTCGGATTGATTTTGGTGGCTTGAACATCCGAAACACATTTTAAAAAATCCCTTTCTTTTCAACGTCAAGAGTT